AACTCCCGCCCCCTTGGTTAGTCACGTAATTAATAATCTTGAGTTTTGTTCCACATTTTCTCCTACTTTTATCCGGGATCCTCTAATATAATCAGGGCAGTTGGTAGTGGCAGCCGGGCACTGTTCTTCTGGTTTTACGAGTACAATTTGCAGAAGGTAATTTAAAAGGGGTTACAGCACTGGCCCTTTAGGATAAGCACTGGAATACTAACCATAAGGGTGGTGGTTCAAGCCCACCAGCTGCTCTGGAAAGTGCAACTTTCGTGTCCCTGGATACAAAAATGGGCTCAAACATAACAACGATTGTGAGAATGACATAGAACTGGATAGTGTTTCCTTCTGTTGTATGTAGATGAGGGCACCTAACAACAACACAGAATAGGCAATTTATGGAGTCATGAAGAATCGAGGTTACCAGGGATGGCAAAAAAGAGTAATGGAGGAGGTGTTTAATGGTTAGAGTTTCCACTTGGGGAGATTAAAAAAGAGATCTGGAAATAGATGGTGGTGGTGGTTACAGAACATTATGAATGTGCTTAACACCACGGGATTGTACACGTAAAAATGGTCAACTGGTAAATTTGATGTTATGAATATTTTACTACAATAACAACACAACACTCTGTAGAGGGAAAGACTGAACCAAGGTACCTATGGGTTGGTTGCACACGATTTGGCTTTTCGTTTTGGGGGTAGATTTCTCAAGAGTAATCCACACCGCCCATGGATGGTTCGGGGACTTAGGACAGAAAGAAAAGAAAAAGGAACCAGGTCCAGCGCATGCTCCAGCCTGGTGCCCCTGACCGTGGCGAGAACCCGCGAGAGCCCACACCACGCTCGGGGTCCCCATAATCAGATGGAGAGCCCCCAACTGCCTCCCCACACCCGCAACTCCCCTCGGACCCCGAGGCCAGATAGCGATCTTTTCCCAGCTCTATCTCTGCCAGGGCTCTGACGAGGCGGGGCTGGGCGCCGCGGGTTTCCAGACCGCAGTGCCGCCGCAGCGCCCGCCCCCTTCCCCGCGCCTCACGGAGCGGTTCCAGAGCAGCGGCCTGCGCTGAGTCCAGGTGAGCGCTCGCCCGAGAGACACTGACCCCAGGACCCGGATCCTCCGCCACCCAGCTCCGCTGCCGGCTTTCGACCCCCGGGACCGCGCACCCCTAAATAGCGCTCGTGATTGCTAGGCTCGGACTCCGGACTGGTGCGATGGGTTTGAGGGTGGACTTTCGGCGCTTGGATGGGGAAAGGGACGGAGACAAGTCGGGGTCGGGTCTGGAGAGCGTCACTTTCATGTTCCTGAGTGCCAACCCTACTTTGAGCCCGGGGTGGTCGAGGTCCCAGGACCTAGGGAGGACTGGAACAGATAGCGGTATGAAAGTCCATAGGTGGGAGAGTGCACAGGGGAAGGGACCGAGGAGCTCCGGGCCGAGGAAATCCGAACCTAGGGCCCCTAGAAGTCCCTGTGGACCAAAGTTATCAGAAGTCCCCAGGGCGGGAGTGAGAAGGGCCCCTGGCACTTTGTAGAGCATGGGATCAGAGAAACTGGAGACTGCGATCTGGGCAGAGGCTCCCCAGAGCCCCCAGAGGAGCTCTTGCTGAGGCTACCTACACCTGGAGCAGGACCATCAGATTCTCACTTTCTTTGGGAGGTGCAGAGAATTCACTACCTGCCTCCCAGGGTACTGAGGCTCCTGTGCATAGCTAACCACCACATACTGCTGTTAACCCTGGAGAGCAGTGGGCAAGAGGTAGAACTTGGGGCTTCTCCCACCATGTTCTGAGTTGGGCCTCCAAGCCTACTTGACCCACTGGAGGTGCCTGTCTTTCCAGCTCCAGGCCTGGGAAGGTTAAATCAAATAGGTCCCTGGAAAGGGTAGGAATAGCTGGACAGGCAGCTGATGCCTAGAGCAGATCTGAGCTTTCCTGGAAGCTGGGGCCCTGCAGATGAGGCCTGAGACCAGGCAGAAGAAGGTAGGGGTTGAGCCAGAGGGAAGCTAAGCTCTGTGGAGGAAGCCCTAAGGAGTGGGGAGGGGGTGCTGCCTGTGGTAATGTAGGAGGTGGCCAAGTTTTATAGACCCAGAGCTGGTGCCCAGTGGGGAAAAGAGCATGGATCTGCCCCAATAACTTCAGAGCCTATACTGGTACATCTGGGGAAGGTGATATAGGTAAAAGGCAGGATGGTTTCTCTCCAAGCTTTCCTTTCCTTTTTCTCTGCCCACTTGTTCTGAGGCACCACCTTCCCAGGGCTCTGCCTGGGATCTGGGCAAGACCAAGTGAGCCTCAGTCCCACTCAAATTAGATTTCAGAAAGCACCTCCAGGGCAAATAGGGAGGTCAGTGTGATAGGCTGTGAGGAGGTGAGTTGTAAACAAGGCCTTCATACCTTTGTCTTAGGCTTTACAAAGTCCACCTAAGAGCCCCTCCCCAGGTGGCCTGTGGGGGACTTCCTGGGCCTCTGCCTATATTAGAACTATGGAAAGAATGGAAGCGAGGATGGGAAGTCACCCAGATGCCCCTTGGCTCTCAGTTTTCCCATCTGCTCTTGGGCATGAGCTTAAATACAGGGCCTGGTGAATATTTGTGACAGGCCAGGGGTGTTGAGTGGGATCTCAAGGAAAGTGGGCACAGGCTATGGCCGAGTTCTGTGCCTGGCATCCTCTCTCCTATCCAATCAGGTCTTGACTGGCAGGCAGCTTTTGTTCCCCATTGAGCCTGGTTTCCTGGGGGACCAGTGGACGGACCCAGCTCCCCAGCCCTCTCTGGCCACAGCTCTCATCAGGAGGAGGGGCCACCTCCTGGACCCTGGCCCTTCCCGCCCCTGGCCTTTCCTTCCAAGACCCAGGCAGCAGCCTCAGTCCACTGCTGGGCTGGGATCAGGAGGCTTGGCAGACCTTGGAGGAGGTGGGTATCCAGGGTGTGCCAGCTGGTGGGAGGGGTATCAGCACTAAGGAGACCCAAACCACGCCCCCATTATAGGAAGGAGAAACTGAGAGCCAGAGGGCAGTGGCCTGCCTAAGGTGACCTGGGATTTGGCCCTAAGCATAGTGGCCTCCTGGGTAAATGGAGACTATGAGATCTCCCGGGCTCTGGGGTTTGGAGAGGGAAAGTCAAAGGACAACAGAAGGCAGAAAGCATGGGTTCTAGAAGGCACAGGGCTGGACAGGCCAAGGGCTCTCCTAGGAGCCAGCATAGCCCGTGCAAGGTCAGAGACATGACACGTGTGCATGCATATGTGCATATGTGTCATGTATGCATTGGCGTGCTGGTTTGCAGGACAGAGGCATGCAGCTGGGAAGTGGGGTTGCTGAGCCTGGAGAGCCAGTGTTTCTTTGGGATCTGCCTCCCCTACATAGAGCCTTTTTGGCTCCAAGTCTCCAGCAGTCTGTCTGGGTCTCTGTCTGCTGCACCCCCCTCAAAGCTTTCATCCTGATTCTGGTCCCTCCCTGCCCACTTCTCCCTGCAGGTCTGGGAGGCAACTCTAGCTGAGATGGCACCCCCAACATCTTGAAGGCTCCAAGGGGGTCCAGTCCCGGCCTGACAGCCCACCACCTGTGTACCTGCCCACCCTCCATCTCCTGGCCACTAGTCAGCCATGGGTGGCTGCTTCTCCAAGCCCAAGCCAGGTGCCTGTGGCCTTCCCTCCCTCCTCCCCCTTCTTCCTCTCCACCCCCTCTGGACTCTGCAGGACTCAAAGTAGGTCAAGCTAGCAGGAGAGTAGCTCAGAATGTTAATGCATCCATGGCAGGAGGGGGTGGGGGGGCCCTGGGTCTGTTCTCCTGTACCCGCTCAAGTGGGTCCCCTTCTTTGATTGGGAGCTTTGTGTGCTGATGGAGGGACTAACAGCTGGTATCTTCTTGGAAAGGGGAGAGGAGGGTTCACTCCTGTTGCTGGGCCAGGGAGGTGGCTGTGTTCCCCCAGGCCTGGAGGAGGAGGAGGGCTCTGGGATCCCCCTCAGTGACTCTGTGATTCAGGAACCTCAAGTTACCTTTTTACACCCCAGTTTCCCTGTCTATAAAATGGGCCTGAATTCTCGAGCTCCACCTCTTCCTGACGTCCTGTGTGACCTTAAGCCTTCAGCTTGGCCTCTCTGGGCAGATTTTTCCATTTGCACAGGAAATCATTCCCTGTGTGGCCCAGTGAGCTCCAGCTAAGGGTGGGGATGTCCTGAGCACTGGAGGCCAGGATCTGCTCTTGGCTGGAGACCTGTGTCTGGCAGACACTTCCTTGGCCCCCACTTTCCCCATCTCATGACAGGGCCAGGGCCAGGGCCAGGGACAGACATGTCATGGATGAGGACACTGAGGCTGGTCAAGGCCTCCCCACTTCCCTTTAGGGCCCCCACCTGATCCACCCCGCCCAACCAGCTCACCCCGGCTCCCTTTACCTGATACACATCGGGCTCCATTACCCTGGAACCTGTCAGCCTTTTTTCCTTTTCCTGGGTCTGAGGGAGAACCTAGTGGGCAGTGGGGGAGAAGAGGCACTGTGATGGCTGTGCCAAGCAGGGGCGCCCATCTACACATGCCCACTTTACTCAGTTCCTGAGCTGCACGCTGCTGGAACAGTGAGAGCCCAAGCCTGCTGCCCTCCTGCCTCTGTGTAACTGGGGCTAGGCTATCCACTGTTCCCACCCCAGCCTTCTCCCGGAGACTTAGACAGGAGGAGGCCTGCTGCTCCTGGCCAGGTGCCTGCAGAACTGATGGCCTGGTAGGTACCACCTGCAGCATCTTTTAAAGGACCTTACAGAGCTGGTCTGCCCGGGGACCCCAGGATTTCCAATAAGGGAGCTGGCCACTTTCATCTCCCCGTAGGTGGTGCTAACAACTCAGGTGCTTGAACCCAAACGCAATGCTGGCCCTTTGCATTTGTATGGCTTGGGCAGGTGATTTCACCTCTTGGAGCATGTTTCCTCCTGTGTACTATGGGACTAAGGAGCTCTGGTAGCATAGTGGTTACCAATTGGGCTGTTAACCTCAAGGTCAGCAGTTCAAAACTACCAGCCGTTCCATGGGAGAAAGATGAGGTTTTCTGCTCCCATAAAGATTTACAGCCTTGGAAACCCTGTGCAGGGTCACTATGAGTCAGAACTGACTCCATGGTACTTAACAACAACTATGGGACTGGTGATGGTTTTGTGCTTGGTAAGGCACCTGGTACACCAGCAGCCCTTGAGAAACTTCATCTTCACTTTTCTTGGGGCAGGCCTCCTGTGTGGGGCTGTGTGACACCCAGGCTGCGCAGACTCAGGATAGACATTAACAGTGTTTATGAAGAATGCCTAGTGGGCCAGGGCAAGCAGAAGGTTTGAATACAAATTCTTCACTTTCTAACCTGCTCAATTCAATCCTGTGGTTAAGAGCACATCACCACCTGAATGCCCTAACTGGAGCTCTAGCAGCTCCTTGGTTTTGATAGCAAGACCCCCAGGACAGTCCCTTGCTGAGCTCAGAGCTAGGAGGAAGTGAGTCTCTTGGCATCTGTCTTTTATTATTAAGTGCTGTCAAGCTGGTTCTGACTCATAGTGATCTTTTGTAGGGTTTCTAAGGAGTCCTGGTGTGGCGCTGTGAGTTCATGCACTGGACTGCAGGTTCACCAGCTGCTCTTTGGATATCCTATACAGCATTGCTATGGGTCGGAACCGACTCGATGGCACTGAACAGCAACAACAAAGGCGTGGCTGGTGGGCTTGAGTCACCTATCTTCTGGTTAGTGGTCCAATGTTTATCCTACAGTGCCACGCCAGGACTCCACCTGCCTTTCAGTCAATCGCAAAAGCTCACCAGTTGTAGTTGAGTTGATTGCGACTCATGTATGGCAGAGTAGAACTGCACTCCACGGAGTTTTCAGTGGCTGATTTTTTCAGGAGCTCTCCAGGCCATTCTTCCAAGGTGCCTCTGGGTGAACTTGAACTAAAAACCTTTGTTTAGTAGTCAATGCATGGAATGTTTCACCACCTAGGGTCTCCTATTAGGCTGCAAGGGCTATCTGCAGGCTTTCCCTCCTCTCCATAGCTGCCAGCAAGCTCAGAGTTAATGTTGATAAAACACTTCTGTCCAACTCCATCTACTGGAGCATCTACTCTGGGTTCACCAATATTATCTCCTCCAGCATTTCTGCATTGCCACAGAGGTTGGTGTAGTTTCCCCTGTTTTATAACAGAGGTATCTGAGGCTCAGAAGGCCTGAGACTGGGCCCAAGGATATGGGGCAGCTGGTTGGTCAGGTTCTTCCCTCCATGGCTCCTGATTTGATGGCTCCCTATAAGATTGCAGCTGTGAGTGCTGTGGAATCTTCCAGAAGAAAGTGGAAGATGAAAACAGCCTGGTGTGGCTGTTATTTGGGCCCCCGCCAGGCTGTTCCTGTGAGTTCCTTCTCCACAATTCACATAACCAGTATCAGCTGAGTCCAAAGTATTTTTATTTTTTCTTCAAACATTCTAAGATAGTTGCATAAAGTGTGGAGGACCAACACAACTGTGGGCTTTCGGGGCAGAGCCTCATTTCTGCCCACTGTGGTGTCTGGAACTGAGCTGGGGACTAGGATGAGAATTAGGGGGCTTAGCCAGGGTAGGGGTGACCATGTACGAACTGGGCAGTTGAGGAGTTCAGAAGGAAGAGGCAGGGGGGTGACTCAGCAGTCATGTTCTGGGAAAGTTGCCTCCTGCTGCTTGCCTGTGTCCATGCTGTGCCAGGCACTCAACTCCCTTCCTCCACCCTCCACCCTGCAGCAGCAACCTTGGGGGCTGGATTATCGCTGTTAAAAATTCTGTTTATTGTTCCCTCCTAATTAGAAAAATACCATAGGCACATTGTAGGGAATTTGGAAAATGCAGTCAAATAGAAAAAAATGCCAATCAGACTCCAGCTAACTCCTTCCAGAGTGAACTCCTGGGGATGCCAGGGTGGGGGTCTTCTGGAGGAAGGCTGTTGGGAGCCTTGTACTCTCACACATACGTACACAGACACATACATAGACACATGTTCATATACATAGACACATTGACATACAGAGTCATGAACATGCATAGACACACAAAGGTATACAGACACGTGTACATACATACAAATACACTTGTTTAAACATCCAGGGCCCCAGACTCCTACACACAAAGACACCAGATACCCAATGTTTGGCAAGTAATGAATGAATGATTCTTAAATTTGGTCAGAATAAGAAGTTGAAATAGTGTTGTGTCCATTTTTTTTTTTTTGTAAACTGCAAACCTACAGGAAATGTGTAAGACTAGGATATGAACTCTTGATCCTAGCACCTGATCCAGTTGACTCTCTTAACAGCGACATGTTAAGAGAACAACTCAGGTGGGAACTGACCCTTCTTTTCCCACCAGAGTTATTCTCTTAGCATGTCCATGTTTGTTGCTGTCCATTGGAGATTGTGACCCTTGGAGTCAGAGACAGGCTTCAGGGCATCAAGATTCTTTCCTCTGTGTGGATTTTAGACAGCTGGGAATTTGTTCTTGTTGTTAGGTGACATCGAGTCAGTTCCAACTCTTAGAGACCCCTAAGCACTACAGAACGGAACATGCCCATCCTGAGCCATCCTCACAATCATTGCTGGGCTTGAGCCCATTGTGGTAGCCACTGTGTCAGTCCATCTCATTGGGAGTCCTCCTCTTTTTCTCTGACCCTCTACTTTATCAAGCATGATGTCCTTCTCCAGGGACTGGTCCCTTCTGATCACATGTCCAAAGTGAGACCAAGTCTCACCATCCTCACTTCTGAGGAACTCTTTGGTTATACTTTTTTTTTTTTTAATTGTGAACTGAGTGATACTTTACATGGGAGAACTTCACACCATTGTTTCGTTGCAATAATCACAATCTCCTCCGTGCATCACCATTCAACAGTATTTGCTTTCATTTCCTCTGTTTTTTGGGGGGGAGGGGGGCAGGGAAGAGGTAGAGGGGATCTATACAAAGACATTCAGGAATATATAATAATTTAAACCACCAGAGGGCACATTCTGCAAGCCTACCTCCTGGCCTCCAGCACTCAGTCCGTCTCTTTCCATGAGTCTAGAGTCCTTAGCTGCTTCGTATCTCCATGTCCTCATCTCTGCCTCCATCTCTGGTGTCTCAGCTTCTCTGGATAGGATCCCACATTCCGCTTGTGCTCTTCTCCCTTGATGGCCCTAGGGTCCTCTGTTTCTGTACTGTAAGATTTTTTGTTACAAAACTTCTACCTTTACAATTGTGACAGTCACAATTAGTCATGATAACAACTACTTACTATAGAATCATAAGAATCTTATCCCCATCTCCTTTTACCAGACCCGTCTAGACAAGATGAAAACTATTCAATGGGGACTCTATCTTCCCCTGCACACTCTTAAACTAAACTCCCTCTTGAAACCTTGTAAGCCAGTCACTTCATGCTTTTCTCACCCCCTCATTTTAAGTAGCCAATGTCTAAGTTGTTTCGCTACACTTCTTGCAGGACAGATTTGTTAGTTCCTCTGGCAGTTTATGGTATATTTAATACCAACACCATGATTCAAAGACATGAATTGTTTTCTGGTGGTTGTTGTTGTTGTAAAGTGTCACAAGTTGATTCCGATTTATAGTGACTGACCCTGTATAGGGTTTCTGAGGAGCGGCTGGTAAGTTTGAGCCTTGTGATACAAACTGACCTTGCAGTCCAGTGCATTCATTATCCCACAGAGCCACACCAGGACTCCTTGTTTTCCAGTATTCTTTATTGATTATCCAGCTTTTACATGCATATAAGGTGATAGAAAATTCCATGGCTTTGGTCAGGTGACAACTTTGCTCTTTAACACTTTAAAGAGGTCTTTTGCATCAGATTTGGCCAATGTTATTTGATTTCTTGAATGTCATTTGATTTCTTGAATGCTTCTTCCATGAGCATTGATTGTGGATCCAAGTAAAATGAAATCCTTTACAACTTCCATCTTTTCTCAATCTGTCATGATATTACTTATTGGTCCAGTTGTGAGGATTTGTGTTTTCTTTACATCACAAACTGTACTGAAGGCTGTAGTCTTTTATCTTCATCAGTAAGTCCTCTTTATTTTTCAAGTGAGGTTGTGTTATCTGCATATCACAGGTGGTAATGAACCTTCCTCCAATTCTGATGCCATGTTCTTCTTATAGTCCAGTGACCGCGGAGTTGACTCTCACTCCTGGTGCCTTTATGCGCATTAGAGACGTGTGCTCCATAGGACTTTCAGTGGCAGATTGTTCAGGAGTAGATGGCCAGGTTTTTCTTCCAAAGTGCACCTCTGGGTAGACGCGTAGCAGCTGAGCATGTTCCCCCATTGGCCTCCCCACGGACTGAAGAGCATTGCTTTGTGTTTTCTCTCCTAATTGTGTTATTGGAAAGAAGATATGTATTTGGCCAGGAGCAGCTCAGTGTGCTATGCTCCCTCTGATGCTGCTTCTCAGTTCTCAGCTCTTTGGGGGATGTAGATGGTTTTCCAGAGAGGTCCTGAGTCAGGGCAGGACTGGTGCCCAGAGGAGGGGGTGGGACTCAACCTACTGGAGAAATAGGGGCCCAGCTGCCCTACTCAAGTGTCACCCTCCCACCCCCGACACAGTGGAGCTCAAGATCGAGGTGGTGCTACCTGAGAAGGAGCGGGCCAAGGAGGAGCTGTTGGCAAGTGCAAAGGGTAGCCCTCGGGCTTACCCAGGCAATGGCACTGCCCGCCACTTTCATGCTGAGGAGCACATGCCTGCCCCCCACCCCTACCCTGGCACTCAGGACTACATGGAGGCTGCAGTCTGCCACATTAAAGATCTGGAGAACAGCCAGTGAGTTCTAAGCTTGGGAGTGAGGGATGGAGGGATGTTCCCACCCCACCAGTGACCTGCCCTCCGAGTATATTCCTCTTCAGGATGCGTGAAGTAGAGCTGGGCTGGGGGAAGGTGCTGCTGGTGAAGGACAATGGCGAGTTCCACGCCCTGGGTCACAAGTGTCCGCACTATGGGGCACCCCTGGTGAAAGGTGAGTGTGGGACACCCTGAAGCAACACTGGGTCTCTAGTTGAGCCATGCCCTGACTCTGCCAGCCCCAGCCAGCTGTGCTCCAGGGTCTTCATCTATTAGTGGGGTCTCCTGAGCTATGGGGACATGGTGCCCTCACCCCAGTGCCATTCCTCCCAGGTGTGTTATCCCGAGGCCGGGTACGCTGTCCCTGGCATGGTGCCTGCTTCAACATCAGCACCGGAGACCTGGAGGACTTCCCAGGCCTCGATAGTCTGCCCAAGTTCCAGGTGGGGCCTGGGTGTACCCGGGGTGGAGGGTGGGGAGGAGAGGAAGGGGCATGGCTGGAGTGCTCCAAAGCCAGGTTCTGAGCTACACAGTCCTTGCAGGTGAAAATTGAAAAGGAGAAGGTGTATGTCCGAGCCAGCAAACAGGTATGGGCAGTGGCTCGGGATTCAGGCTCAAGGGAGAGACAGGGAGGGCAGCTTGGTCTAGGAACAGAGAGTGCAAAGTCCTTGTTGTGGGAGGTGGTTTGGGAGGGCTGTATGGTGGGGATAAGTCTAGGCAGCAGCTGGACCTGGAAGACCCGTAGTGGTTTAGCATGGCCCAGCTCCCAGCTCCCCCCAGCCCACTCCACCCCTCCCAGGCACTGCAGCTGCAGCGAAGGACGAAGATGATGGCCAAGTGTATCTCCCCAAGCGCCAGCCACAGCTGCAGCACCAATGTGCTCATTGTAGGCGCAGGTTGGTGATAGTATTTTGGGGGTGGGGCAAGGGTGAGATGAGACGTGGTTTCTGGCACATGGCTCCTCTCCTCAGGTGCAGCTGGCCTGGTGTGTGCTGAGACGCTTCGGCAGGAGGGATTCTCTGACCGAATTGTGCTGTGCACGCTGGACCGGCACCTCCCCTATGACCGACCTAAGCTCAGCAAGGTATGGGGCAGCCTGCCATCCCTCTATCCCAGTCCATTCCACTTGGCATCTTGCTTGGCTGCCCCTTGAGGGTCTGACTAGCTGCCTTCTCTGAGGTTCCTAGAAAGACCCGGGCCTTTTGAGTCCTATCTACCACCCCATGGGACCCCCAGCCCAACCCTAGACTCCCTGGTACCCCATGTTGGGTCCTTGGCTCAAAATGGAGCAGTGGCTGCCTGGCTCCATCTCACACTGGCTTGCTTCTGCAGTCCCTGGACACACAACCTGAGCAACTGACGCTGCGACCCAAGGAGTTCTTCCGCGCCTATGGCATTGAAGTGCTCACGGAAGCACAGGTTTATGGCCAAGGGTGGGGACCCTGAGTCCCAGGGGAAGGGTATGAACTGCATGGGCTCCTCAGAGGTGCTGGGAATACTTGACCCTCCATCCCAGGCCTGGAGGTGGTCTCGTTCTCCAGCTGTAGGGGTGGCGTTGAGCCTTCTTTTTCGGCACACTCTTAAGTCCTGCATGTGGTGAGATAGCTGATCTGCTCAGGGCTGGGATGGGAGAGTCTAAAGGCACTTAGGAGCATAGGGAAGGCTTTGAGGGGAAGCTGAACGAATGAAGAGGGCTTGGCAAGCAGAGCAGAGAGTAATGATAACCAGGACATTGGAACTGAAGCTAATGGGGGTGCTCAGAGGGTCTGGTTGGGCTCTGGGTGTAGCACCAGATGGACTGGGTAGTGTGATCAGATCTCTGACCAAGTCTATGTCCTATCTGGCCTGGATGCAGGTGGTGACTGTGGATGTGAAGAATAAGAAGGTGGTGTTCAAGGACGGCTTCAAGCTGGAATATAGCAAGCTGCTGCTGGCTCCAGGGAGCAGGTGGGGCCCCAGGCAAGCTGCTGGCCAAGTGGGGAGGGTTTGGGCATTGGGGAATCTTTAACCTGGCCAGTGTCTCAGCCCTAAGGCCCTGAGCTGCAAAGGCAAAGAGGTGGAAAATGTGTTTACCATCCGGACTCCAGAGGATGCCAATCGTGTGGTGAGGCTGGCCCGGGGCCGAAATGCTGTTGTCGTGGGAGCTGGCTTCCTGGGTGAGCGGTGGGGTAGGGTGTGTGGGGTGGCCTAATTGCCAGGGGAGGCACAATTGCCAGCTTGCTGCCCCTGCCCCTGCCCATGTTCCCAGGGATGGAAGTGGCCGCGTATCTGACTGAGAAAGCCCACTCAGTGTCTGTGGTGGAGCTGGAGGAGACCCCATTCAGGAGGTTCCTGGGAGAGCGTGTTGGTCGGGCCCTCATGAAGGTAAGTCTACCCTGCATCTGATCCCTGAGGTCCTGGGAGCACTGGCCAGCCCCAGGTCAGGCCCTCACTCACAGCCCACCTGCCCACCTGTCCCAACAGATGTTCGAGAATAACCGGGTGAAGTTCTACATGCAGACAGAGGTGTCAGAACTTCGGGCCCAGGAGGGAAAGGTGGGAGCCCCACTGCCGGCCTTCTGCCCTTCTCCTCTGTGCCCGGAGTTTGGCCCACCTGCTCACCTCCCTCTCCACAGCTGAAGGAGGTCGTGCTGAAGAGCAGCAAGGTCATTAGAGCAGACGTCTGTGTGGTGGGCATTGGTGAGTTGACGGGCAACACAGGGAGCAGAGCTAGCCACGCACAGTCTGAGCGACTTGACCCTTCACCTCCTGGAGCCTCGGTTTCCATATCTGTAAAATGGGGATTTGGAAAGACTAGTGGAGAACACGAATCTCAGGCCTGGCATGGAGATGCTCCCAACGACCACTGCCGACGAACACTTTGTGCTCTGCTCTAACTGGTTCCTGCTCCCATTTGGGCAGGACAAAACTGGAATGTGGTAGCGGTAGCTCAGGGACTGGGGGTCATGGTATGTCAAGCCCCACTAGGGGAATTTATGGAGCTTGAAATGGTAGGATCACCTAGAGTGTGGACACTGCAGCCTCTGTCCTGCTAGGTGCGGTGCCTGCCACGGGCTTCTTGAAACAGAGTGGCATCTGTCTGGACTCCCGAGGCTTCATCCCAGTCAACAAGGTGGGGCTAGGCTCTGACAGGTGGGGTGGGAGGTCCAGGCTGGAGCCTGCCACCCACGGAACCCTGCTCTCACTACAGATGATGCAGACCAGCGTTCCAGGTGTGTTCGCAGCTGGTGACGCTGTCACCTTTCCCCTGACCTGGAGAAACAACCGCAAAGTCAACATCCCACACTGGCAGATGGCACATGCCCAGGGTACGCAGGGTCTCAGCCTCCCCAGGGCTCACTGTGAGTCCTGGTCACTGTTGGCCATGGAAGGTTCTGTTCTTGGCTGTCCACCAGCCTCACCCATGTGATCTGGCCAGCCCTGCAACCCAAATCTGGGGGCCTTCCTCTAAACCAACCCCCAATTCAATGCTCTGTGAATTCCCAGTCCAGCCTGTCACTTATCCTTCCATCAGTCTTGCCTTCCCTTCTGATCAGCCTGTACTGTCACTCTAGGACTGTCCATCGTGGCCTGCAGTGGGGCTTCTGCCTCCCTTCAGCTACAACTAACTCGGTTGCTGTAGCAGACCCTTGGGAGGTGGTCATCTGGGCCTAGAAACCTGGGCTCAGTGGGGACAGGTGTTGCTGTCTGAGAACTAGCCTCCTCCTCACATTTGGTGGCCACCATGATGTGGCGCTATAGGATAGCACTGGCTAACTAACTGCAAGGTTGGTGCTTCAAACCCACCAACTGCTGTTAGTCAGAACCAACTTGACAGCATGTAACAACATGTTCCCATCTGAGTCTCTTAGTGCTGTTGTAACAAATACCACATGTGTTTCAAGAGCAGAAATGTCTTTTCTCACAGTTCAGGGCACCAGCTCTACGGGATGTACAGCTCTTTGTCAGCTCTGCAGGAAGGTCCTTGATTCAACTTCTCTCACCCCTGACAATGTCCCTCCATGTGGCATCTCTTTTCCTCAGTGTGTGCTCACTTCTGTGTCTCATCTCTTTTTATAACTTAGAAGTGATTATGGTTAAGGACCCACTGACAGTATTGAAGTTTATTAACATAAGAAAGAAAATCCTATTTCCAAGTTGAATTACAGTCACAGGTAGAGGGGTCAGGAATGCAGAGCATATTTTGGGGACACACAGTTTAATCTAGAACACCCCCAAGACCTCCCTATTCTGCACACTTAGTCTGGTCCCCTAAACTATGGGTGTAATCAAATTAGCTGCCTCCCTGTCTCATAACTAAGACCACCAGACCAGGAAAAGGGACTCTACCAGCATCCTGTTCCCCTTCCCTTTGTCTTCATTTTATTTAAGAATATGATGCAGGAAACCCTACCCCTGGTACTATTTTGTACCCAAGTCCAAATTCTAAAGGATTTGGCTCACCAGTCAAGTACAAGACAGCTTCAAAAAGTTTGTGGAAAAATTGAATGGATAATGGAATTCTTTTGATGAAAGTTTTGAAGCCCCGTCTTATAACAAGGGTTTTTACTGGGATGGCTTAGGAATTGGGCAGCCACCATGTTGGGTTTCTTTCTCAGCTTCCCTGGGCACTTCACACCTGCCGCTTCAGGCCAGTCCAAGTGGCCTGAAGCCCCAGAAGCGGCCCTTCCAGGCCCAGGGCACTATATCAAATACCCTAGAAGAATCTAGTTATTGAACCTTTGTGGCTTAAGCCTTGGGCTATTAACTGAAAGTTGGTGGTTCAAAGCCACCGGAGAAAGATGTGGCAGTCTGCTCCGTAAAGACTTATAGGTTTGGAAACCTGTGGGGGCAGTTCTACTCTGTCTTACAGGGTCCATGTGAGTCAGAATTCACTAGATGGCATCAAGTAGCTTTGCCCTAGGTATCCATTCTTTACCAATCAACTACAATAGTGGACAGCATTGGCTCCACAAGGATGGCCTCTTCACCTCAGGGATAGGGGGCAGGCGAGGAGGCCCTTAAGGACAGCGGTGAGAATGGTGACAGAGTCGGAGCTCTCACAAGTCTGGGTCCTGCAGGACGGGTGGCTGCCCAGAACATGCTTGCACAGGAGGCAGAGATCAACACGGTGCCCTACCTCTGGACTGCCATGTTCGGCAAGAGCCTGCGCTATGCAGGTAACCATGGACAGCGGGGTGAGAGACTGAGGATGGGGGCTGGGCTAGGCTGGGGAAGGGTTTGTGGAGTGCATAGGCGGCCGAAAGGTGGGGAGTGGAACTGTGGACATCCTTGGGGCAGGGATGTGGCTGCACTAGGAGTAAACCAATCAAAACCAAATCCACTGCCATCTTGTGGATTTCAACTCTAAACGACCCTATATAGGGTTTCCAATGCTGTAAATCTTTATGGAAGTAGAAAGTCTCATCTTTCTCCCAGAGCTGGTGAGTTTGAACCGTTGATTTGAACCTGCGATCATCCTACAGTGCCCTATAGGGTTCTGCACTAGGAACAAGCAGCTAGAAACTCCATGGGGGTGGGTTTAGATAATTACCCAAGAACATGGGGGGCTTATTAGGAAGGAGATAGGAGGGCCCAGGGCTTGAATTCTATCTCTTCCGCATTTGGCCCATACAGGTTATGGAGAAGGATTTGATGATGTCATCATTCAGGGAGACCTGGAGGAACTGAAGTTTGTGGCTTTTTACACCAAGTGAGAGCTGGGAAGTGGGTGTGGGCAAGTGAGGGGGAGGTAGGGTGGGGGATGGTAGGGCTGGTCTGGGAGGAGACTGTTTGGCAGATGGAGGCGGACAAAGCCATAGAGTGAAGACAGGTGAGAAAGAGCACAAGATGGCACATTTCTGCCCTTTGAGGTGGGTGTTGAGGAAAGGTACAAAGGTAGGGAGGGGTGATTCAGGGACTGGAGCCCAGCCCTGAGCAGCAGGTGCAATGCAGGGAGAGCTGGGGGCTTAGGACACTGTCGCTGTCCCTCTAGTGAGATGGGCAAGCCCCCTTCCTATCCCAGGTAGACAGCAACATGTCAAGGTCCTCTGAGGAAGGGACCTCTGCCAGGCTGTCCTCAGGCTGGGCCACCTTCTTCCCTCAGAGGTGACGAGGTGATTGCTGTGGCCAGCATGAACTACGACCCCATTGTGTCCAGGGTGGCTGAGGTGCTGGCCTCAGGTCGAGCCATCCGGAAGCGGGAAGTGGAGTGAGTGTGGGGAGTGAGGTCTGGGGAGGGGGACTGAGAACAGAGGGGGCCTAAAGTATACCCCCTTTAGCCCCAGGATGCCATAGAGTATGGGCTACAATTTGGAAGTGGGCTAGTCTACGTGCTCAAGGGAGGTAGTCAAGGAGGTTGTGTTAGGGGCAGGGGTGTCAAGCTTGACTTCTTGGGCAGTCATTACTTGCAGAGCCTTCTGGGACTGAGGAGAGCCTGGAAGCCACTGCCAGGCAGGGGTCTGGGGCCCAAGGGTCAGAGAGGGGGAGGTCACAGATGGGAGCAATGGAGGGTTATTGACTGAAATGCTTTCTACCTGGCTTTCTCTGTCTCTCCATCTTGCCCTTGCGAAGGCTTTTTGTGCTGCACAGCAAGTACGTTTATTTTCTCTGTCCTTCTTGTTGACTGTTCTGTCATTTACTCACTGCAGCCCAAAGCCTCCACTAGTGTATCCCTCTGCCCAAGTACAATCCCTCTGGCATCAGAGCTGACAAGGAGCTGGTGGCATCCTGAGCTAGCTGCTTGTAGTGCCCAGAGGGGGGGTCCTTTGCGCTCTTCTTTATTCTGCTCTGACTCCTCCTTCCCTCATTCCTGCAGGACTGGTGACATGTCCTGGCTCAAGGGGAAAGGATTCTGAGCTCATAAAAAGCGGACCTGGACAGGCAGGTTGGGGCCTCAGGGACAGAGGCCAAGTTCCTGGGGGGCAGGTGCCAACCTCCAATTTTCCAGGATCCCCCAGGGCCTAATCTGACCCTCCTCAGTGCTACTCTTTGGAGAGGTATCAGCTTCAAGAAGAGGATGCTTGGCTGACGCAGATGACTGGCATTGGTGTCCCTGCTGTTTCCTTTTGGGAACTGGCCCCAGTAGAACCCTGCATCCTCTTAGACATCATCTTAAAATTAAAATGTACACATTTGCAGATCTGTGTGATTGCCAGCCTGATTGAACCAACACTCAGAGAGGGAGACAGGCACAACCACAGAATACTTGGTATTACAGCAAAGAAGTTCAGCTGTGGGCGTCCGGGATGAGGGAGCAACAGGTTCTGCCCATGCGGTCAGGGATGGCTTCTCCAAGGAGTGCTCTGGCGCTGGACAGGGCAGTATTTCGTTCGACTGTACGGTTGCTGAGTCATTATCGACTCCACGGCAGATAACAACAACCAGATAGAAGTGACAGTCTGTGCAAAGGAGCTGAGACAGGAAATGCTCTACAGAGATGAGAGGTTGGACGTGCCTGGAACTTAGGGTTGTAAGAGCTGACTCCTGAGAGACCCCATCCTTCTCGCAACTGTCCATCATTTCCGAATCCCCATCTCTCAGGCGGAAGAGCGGAAGCTCTGCTATTAAGTAGAAGGAATGAGAATCTAAAGTCCCTGTCCTTTTCGCTGCTTCCTAGCTAACAAGAAAGCCTGAGGGGGAAACCCACGGGGCAACTGAGGGTGGAAATAGAAAGGGGACGGCCGGGCTTCCTATGGAGGACACTGCGAGCACGGAACTTTCCATCCCTGGGTCCCGGGAGTGGCGGATACCAACTGGATTACGCGAGGGCTTGGCATGCCGGGAAATGTAGGCCAGCCACGGAGGGTCCCCGTGCGGCGTGAGCTTGGCAAGGGCGTTCTTTCCAGAACTTCGCCGGAAATGATTCCCGGAACGCTATAAGCTTCGCTGGCCAGTGGTGTGACGTGGCACGTCGGCCTGTCAAGAAATTGGAGCGAGCGACAGCGCGGCACTGGCCGGAAGTGACGCGCCGTCGGCATAGGGATCGCAGGGAAATGTAGTTTTGCCGGGCAGTCTGAGGCGGTGGCCGCAAATCCCACGAACCCGGCTGCCCTGCGGACGTGGATCTGGGATGGCTGGGCCTGGCGTCACGGGTGGTTCGATTGGGGCCGGAGCCCTGGTAGGCAGCGCGCGGTCCAAGGTGGCCCCGAGCGTGGATTTTGACCACAGCTGCTCGGACAGCGTAGAGTACCTGACGCTCAATTTTGGGCCCTTCGAGACTGTGCATCGCTGGCGTCGCCTCCCGCCCTGCGACGAGTTCGTGGGCGCCCGGTACAACGGGGTTCGGGGATAGGGACCAGGGGAGAGTCTGGGCTTGGTTCCGGGGCGGGATATGATCACAGCAAAGATGAATTCTGGACGGTGCCCACCCTAGGGATACAAGAACCGGGTGACTAGGTGAAAGGCTACTAGAGTGAAATGATATTTTGGTGGCCTGGGACCTATCTTCTGAGTGCTCTGGAGACATTTAGAGAGCCCAGGTCAGAGTCAGGGGTTCCCGCACGAGGTCCTCGAGAAAAATTAGTCGTCTCTGCTTGGCTTTATCTCCTGGGTACCTTAGGAGGTCCCTCACTGCTCCCTACCCCTTTCTTCTCTCTAGGCGCAGCAAGCACACAGTGGTGGCTTATAAGGATGCCATCTATGTATTTGGAGGAGACAATGGGTGAGTGAATCTGAACATTGGAGTGTTGGGACTAGTTTGGTAACTGGGGGTGGTCTCTGCACTGCCAGACTGTCTTCCCAGGTGTTAGCTAAACACCCTAAGCCTCGCTTTCCCCCCAATTTGAAGGAGACAGCGGGTGAGTGAATCTGAACATGGGAGTGTTGGAACCAGGAGAAACGTGGTGATTGGGGACGGGGCATCTACACTGCCAGACTGCCCTCCCAGGTGTTAGCGGAACACCATAAGCCTCACCCGTAACATGTGGTTCCTCAAACGTACCTCCCAGGTCATGATGAGGATTATACCTGCTTGGTTGTTGTTGGGTACTGTGTTTCACCTCATAGTGCCCCTCTGTGAACAAAATACTGCCTAGTCCTGCATCATCCTCACCATCATTGCTAAGTTTGAGCCCATTGTTGCAATTATTATGTAATCCATCTCTTTGAGGGTCTTTTTCATTGACCCTTTTCCAAGCATGATGTCCTCCAGGGACTGGTCCCTTCTGATGGGCAAAGTACAAGAGACGAAGTCTCACTGTACTTGCTTCTCAAGAGCACTCTTGTTGTATTTCTTCCAAAGCAGATTTGTTCATTCTTCTGTCAGTCCATGGTCTCCTTGTCCTGCTCTCATTTACTGATAGGCTCAGGGAAGCCAGGGACAAGGAGGCTCTGGGAAGGGTTGGAAGCCTGCTGGAGGTGGGGCTGAAGTGTGGTCTCCCAGATCTCTGTGGTGTTGAGCCCAGGCAGTAGTTCAGCTAAGCTAAGTGCTCTTTGCTTTCCTCCTGTATACGTTATGCCGCTGTTCTTATGGCACGGTAGAGGGCTCACAAGGGTCCTAGAGCACGCAGCTGTGAGAGGCTCTACAGAGAGTTCTCTTGGACTGAGGGTGGGATATTGGTGCATAGCAGATCTTGCTGTGAGTCTGGAGCCATCCCTACTTCCCCTGCCCCCCTCAGCCCCAGGAAGGGTGCTGTGACCTTGGTCCTATAGGACACCTGGGAGATTTGGCCTTGGGGATTGGATTAGATGGACCCCCCCTGACCTGGCTCTGCAATACAGGAATCCCTTTTGGCCTCCTTGGGCATGGTCTTCTAACTCCCAGCCTATCTTTCCCACAATTTCTTTCCCCATGAGCAGTCAGAGGGCTTCATTTAAAACTACATGTTAGAGCATGTTCCCTCCCTAGCTCAGAATCCTGTGATATCCACCCCCTTGCTCTGGCATCTGTGAGTCCCAGCTCAAGTGCCCTCACTGGCTGCTTTGCTGTATTTGGAATGGACAAGGCACCCTTGTCCTCCCTGCTCCCTCTGACTGGGATGCCTACCACCCCAATTGCATGCCCCTTTTTGCCCTTCTCACACTCCTTGTGTGAACTGGTGGCCTCCTGGTTCTCTTACACGCTCTGCTTGTCTCAGATGACATATTTACTCACACCTCTCTCCTTCACTGCAATGTTGGTTCCACCAGGACAGGGCCAAGCTCAGGGCCTGCTGTTTACTATACCCCCCGAAAAAACCTAGAATGAGATAAAGAATAATCCTCTGCTTGCAGCAGTTACTGGAGAATGAACAGGATCCCCCAGCCAGGAGAGGCTCTAGTGCCCAGCACAGGACAGTTGAGGGTGGGTGGGTGGCAGGGAGGGGTATGGGAACTCCCATCCTCAGGAGTTCTCTCTAGACTAGAAGGGTTCCCCTACTGCTAGTCCCAGGGTGCCCCACCCTACAGTCACCCCAGGGGACATGCCAGTGCTGTCCCCTGTACTAGTTCCAACAGTGGGCCCTAGTACAGTTGTCCAGGGGCACAGCTGGATCACATTGATCCTCAGATGAACAAAATTCAGCAGTAAGCCTAGAGCAGAAATATTTTTGATATAATGATACACAATTGGGTTAAATGTTGGGCTGCTAACTGCAAGGCCAGCAGTTAGAACCCACCAGCCGCTCCTCAGGAGAAAGATGAGGTCCTCTGCTCCTATAAAGATTTAACCCTAGGGGACATTTCTACTCTGTCCTAGAGGTTTGCTCTGAGTTAGAATTAGCTCACTGCCAGTGGGTTGGGTATTTTGCTTAAGAACCAGGACATGGTCTATCTTTACTCTAGTTATAGGGGAGGATGCAGTCTTATTCCCCAGGTATCCATGCTTTCATCCTGCCTGCATGGATTCAGGAATCCCAGGCTTAGAGTCTTCATCTGGAAAATGGGAGTGGCTGTCCCTCCTGGGGAGTGGAGAGCCAAGGTGGGCAAGGACTGCTGAACTCTTGGGTCTGTGCCCTTCTGGGTGGTAATGAGAAGCAATGATGATGGTTCAGAGGCAGAACTCTCACCTTCCATGTGGGAGACTTGGGTTTGATTCTCAGCCACTTCATGAACAGCACTGTCTAACAGTGGAGGCTTATGCGTTGCTAGGATGCTGAACAGGTTTCAGCAGAGCTTCCAGACTAGGAAGAAAAGCCTGGTAATCACATTCCAAAAAATCAGCTATTGAAAACCCTCTAGATCACGTTAGTTTGACCTGATCATGGGGATGGCGAACTTTCATTCTGTTGTGTTTGGGTTGAGGAGGGCAGCTAACAGTCTGGGTGGTGACATGTGGCGAGACCTAGCTATCAGGTGCTGCAGTGACCAGTAGGTTTGCCTACCATTGTGTGGAGTCTTTGATGGAAGGAAAGCATGTCATATTTCTCAACCAACGAGAAGGAAAGGGCCCTCCCTGAGGTGTGGGCATTCACTTGTGTTTGAGGGGGTGTTGAGACACACAAGTGGCGACACTAGAGCCAGGGATGAGTTATGGGTGGTGACTCTAGCCTTAGGGCCACTTCTTGCCCTCAATTTAGCAGCTAGGTGACTCCCCGTGGCCTGATAGTGCTTTGGTCCTGGCCCCAGGTAGATCAGTTCTGCATCAATTGGGGTGCCTCTCAGGGGTTAGCAACTGACCAGTGTAGAGCATCGCCTCCCCTTACCTGCAGTGCACATCTTGGGGCTCCTCTGGGCTAATGCTGTTTTTTTCTCTCACCGTTTCTGGCCAATTGCAGGAAGACGATGCTCAATGACTTGCTGCGCTTTGATGTGAAGGACTGCTCCTGGTGCAGGTAGGTAGACAGCCTCGGCCCTGGGACCCCACTTCCTTTTATAAAAAAGTGTCCCTCTGCTGATTATCATGGGAAACCCAAGAAGCCCAAAGCAAGCAGGAAAGCCCAGAGCCACTCCTATCATTTTCTTTATTTCCTGGGCTGCTTACTTTTCCCTGCCCCAGATGGAGATGCATACTGCTGAATTTTGTTCATCTGAGGATCAATGTGATCCAGTTGTACCCTTGGAGAGCTGTACTAGGGCCCACTGTTGGAGCTAGTGTAGGGGACAACACTGGCACGTCCCCTGGGGTGACTGTATGGTGGGGCACCCTAGGACTAGCAGTAGGGGAACCCTTCATGCCCTTCACCCTCTGCAGGTGATGCCTCCTTCTGACACATGCCATTATAGATGGGTGGCCTTGGGCAAGACACTTGCTTTCTTCCGGCCCAGGGTATTTGTGCCCATCCACTCCAGTCTGGCCCCTTGCCTATAGCACTCCCTGGGTTGGGGAGCTAATGGGTTTTTCTTGATCTCTGCCATCATACCGCCAGGATTACAAGGTCACCAAGCCCTTGGGGTAGCAGTGCCTAAGGAGAAAACAGGAAGGGATAGGAAAGGACAAACATAGGGAGGATATGGAAAGAGTGTGGTTGCATTGTGGATTGCAGTCAGTGTCACAGAAAAAGTGTAGGAATTGTTGAATGGAATGCCAATTGGCTCTGTAAAGTTTTCTATAAATCACAATAAATTTTAAAAAACCAAAAAATACTGGCCCAAGACCCACAGCTTCTGAGGAGCTGAGACATAGTGCCAGCAGTTAGGAGAGCACTCAGTGATGGCCCTAAGTTTAGATGCCACTCCTCCCACACTCTAAAATACTGTCAGTAGCTTCTGATCCATGTTAAACATTGTCTAGAAGAATTTACAATTCTCTGTTAAAAATTGCTTCAGTTTGAAATAAAATTCTGAAAATGAGCAGCCTTGGAAAAGCATTGTAAATGGGTTTTCAATTCAGACTAAAATGTGTGGTCCACCCAGGTACTAGGAGACTAGCCATCACTGTAAAAAAGCCATGGGTGATTCTAGAATGGCAGGAAGGGAGAGCCAGAGCCGGCTTGTCAAGTTGAAAGAGCAAAATGTCTGTCTCCTGCTTCTATTCTACAAGTGATTCAGAGGTCTAAGTAGGCAGAGGACACAGCAGGTGACAGTGATAGTGCCTGTCTCTCTCGTTTTTGTAGCAAAACCTGTAGCAGCCTTCACATGTATAGTTTAATGACATTAACAAATGTCATACTGTTCAACTGTCATCTATTCTCAGGGCCTGCATTTTGTTCTTGATTTTTTAAAAGTTTCTATAATAAACCAGGAGTCATGATGTGTATTGTAAGATTAGCACTGGACTGCTAAACACATGGTCGGTCATTCAAACATTTCAGCCGCTCGTTGGAAACCCTATACAGGGTTGCTATGAGTCAGAACTGACTCCACAGCACTTAACAGTAACAAGCCTAGTATTCCCTTTCCAATATAGGAAATAGTACTGGGGAACGTGGGGGCTGCAGTGTGCATGGGTTGGGGGTGTGCTAATCATGACCCATGTTCCTCCCCAGGGCTTTCACAACTGGGACCCCTCCAGCACCCCGCTACCACCATTCAGCTGTCGTCTATGGGAGTAGCATGTTTGTCTTTGGTGAGCAACCTCTGGGTCCTCCCCTGGCTCCCAGTCCCAGCCTCCCACCCAGCCCTGGTACCAGGTGCCTTGAAGGCATGGCTCTACTTGACCTTCCCATAAGTATCTCCTCAGCAGCGTTGGAATTATCTGTGACAGGCAAGAGGTAGCCTTTCCTCTGTAGGGATAGGGGGCAGGGGTCATCTCAGCTATGTCCCCAGAGGCAGGCTGGCAGCCACAACCCCATTGAGGCTGGTGGAAGGATCCCAGAAGGCTCTGCTCTGTCTCTAGGGGCCTCTGACCATAATAGTTTTTCTCTCTCTACCCAGGGGGCTATACTGGGGACATTTATTCTAATTCTAACTTGAAGAATAAAAATGATCTCTTTGAATACAAGTTTGCAACTGGCCAATGGACCGAGTGGAAGATTGAAGGACGGTAAGAGGCTTGACTGAGGCTTCTGGGGTGTCCTGATGGCTACTGCACTAGGGAGCACTGGACCTGCCCCTCACTTCGCCATCCTGTGGTATCACAGATGAGGAGCCATGGGGAGGGACTGGAAACTGGTCCAACTAAAACAAACTGACTCTGATATATGCCAACCCCATGTCCGAGTAGAACTACTCACTACAGGGTTTCCAGTGGCTTCTTTTCTGGAAGTAGATGGTCAGGCCTTTTTTCCAAGGTGATTCTGGTTAGACTCTGACAGCCAACCTTTTGGCAAGCCCCTGAGCTCGATCCCCATTTATACTGTACAGGGTCCCTGGGGGCTGGTTAGGATGCATTGACTCCCAGCCAAGTGTGGCTGTGATCTCCTTCCAGAGATTAGTCCCTGATCGTGCCTTCAGAGATCCTTCCTGGGGTATTCTGCAGGCCACTTAGAGGGGGGTTCAGGACTGTATAACTGCCTGGATACCTCTGGAAATAGACATTTCTTCAAAGAAAAGCAAATGCTCACCAGCATATGGAAAGATGCTCAGTATCACTGATCACATCAGAAAATGCACATCAGAACCTGATAATCTAGCAACCACCACTGCCCCTCCTGGTGGGGCCACTGCTCTGGGCCCATTACTCCCAGTGCCTACTATCAGGCTGACATGGGGACCAGATAGCTCGGGGGCACACACAGACTGAATCCTTGCTCTTCCACCCCAAGGTTGCCAGTTGCCAGGTCAGCTCACGGTGCCACTGTGTACAGTGACAAACTCTGGATCTTCGCTGGCTATGATGGCAATGCCAGGTAGGTAGTGCCCTGCTATCCAGCACTTAGGATAAGTCCCTGAGTGTTGAGGTATTCCTGGCCAGGAATGGTTAGCATAGTGGATTTGAATACCATCCTGCCCAAGGGGTCTGTTGGGAAGGTGGGCATGTCAACAAGGGTAGGAGAAGGGTCCACACTCAACACCACAGAAGTCAGCTGGGCTGGGAGGGAGGGCATTGAGTCTAGCCATTGTTATGCATTGGTCTGAAGCTATGTGTTCTCCCCACCTCTGCAAAGGGGCCAGATCCTGATGGGGTGGGGGTGAGGTAAGGACAATCAAGGTGTAGTGAGGAGGGGCCCTGAGGGCTGGTGGGCAGTGGGTAGCAGTAGGGTTCAGACCCAGCCTCTCCCCACCCTGGGTTCTTGCCTCTATCTGGAGAATTTTCTTCCCTATTGGTAAAAGCCACTTTTCAATATTTTTCATTTTTAACTTTTTGTGGCACTATAGGGTAAGCACTGGATCTCAAGGTTGGTTTGAATCACAAAGTTGGCCATTCAAACTCACCAGCCACTACTTGGAAATCCTCTACAGAGTTGCCATGAGTCGGAACTGACTCAGCGACACTTAACAACATTATGAATTGGTACAGGTTTACGGAGCCTGTTAGTTTCTCACTCAACACTTCACCTCCGTTTTGTTTTATGTTATTATCATCCCCATAATGTAGCATCACACAGCCCACTTCCTTCTTGTGTCTCTTGCTTCCATTCCTTCTTTCCTAACCCTTTTGAATTTTGTCCTTGGGTCAATGTATTGCTGTATTTTTCTTATCACAAAAGCAGCATGTGTCCCTAAACTGCAGCATTGTAGAAAGCCCTCCCTGCTGGTCCTTGTTGGTGGAGGTTTCCATGAGCTTGGCCTCCCTAAGACCCCCATCAGCACTAGATATAGCTTCTGCGTGTGTAAGCATTGGCTCAGCCCTAGTGTATGGAAGGCTGGCATGTTGTTGTCACTTCCCCTCGGGGACTTGGTGCAACTGCTCTCTGCGAAGCTCTCACCTTAGGGCTAGGACTGGGCACGTGGACCCTTGACCTAGGGATGGATTGGTCCCTGAGGCTAGGCCCCCTGGAAGAGCCATGTAACCATGACAGCCAGACCCATCAGTGAGGATTACCACCCTGTCTTCCCACAGGTTGAACGACATGTGGACAATTGGCCTCCAGGATAGGGAGCTCACGTGCTGGGAAGAGGTAAGGGCTGCAGGGGGTTGGGTGGTGGCTTTCTCCCCTGTCCAAGCCCGGTCCCTTCCCAGCCTCCATCCCCTTGATCCCTCTCCTGACCCATCTCTAGGTTTAGTGCTGTGCTTGGGTAGAATGTAATGCTTGGTGAATGCCATTTTGGTCTAACCCACATTGTTCTGGTCACTGGAGCTTCGGGCCATCTTTCACGCCATCCTATTGTCCCCCAGGGCCCGCTGTTCTTTTCCTCTTTAGTGATGAGGTTAGCTGTAGCTATTCTAATCTGGAGCCCCTAGATGAACAAAGACTGAACACACTCAGCTGCTAACCTAAAGGTTGGGTGCTTGAGTTCACCTAGAGACATCTTGGAAGAAAGACCTGGTGCTCTCCTAAAACAACAGCCATTGATAACCATATGGCACTCAATCCTACCCTGACACAAAGGGGAGTGTCATGAGTGCATTTGAAAGGAACTGACTGGTTTTTGGTTTGTGAACTGGGACTTGCTGGGAAGCTGTTTCTCACACTGTTGTGCAAAGATTAATTGGCCAACTGTTATCCAGGGTGGTGCAGCAGGTTAAGTGTTGGGCTGCTAATTGACAGGTTGGTGGTTTTAACCCACCAGCTGCTCTGCAGGAGAAAGATGAAACTTCAGTTTTCTATTCTGTCCTATTGCAGTGAGTTGGCATTGACGCCACTGTAGTAGGTTTGGGTGGTTTTATCCAGGGCCAGGTCAGTGGTCTGAACCCACCAGCTGTTCCTCGGGAGAAAGATGAGGTGGTCTGCTCCCATAGAGATTTACAGTCTCAGAAACCCTATTTAGGGTTGGGGGTGAGTGGAAATCAACTTGATGGCAGTGGGTTTGGTTTTGGGTTGTTTTAGAAGTATAAGTAATCCAGCACCTGTCATCTCAGCCAGGTCCTGAAAGGCCCCAGACTGAGTGCCCACCCCTCACCCCCAGGTGGCCCAGAGTGGTGAGATCCCACCTTCTTGCTGCAACTTCCCCGTGGCTGTGTGCCGTGACAAGATGTTCGTGTTCTCAGGCCAGAGTGGGGCCAAGATCACCAACAGCCTTTTCCAGTTTGAATTCAAGGACAAGATGTGAGCACCCTGGTGGGTGGGACTTGGATAGGTATGGATGGGTGGCCCAGCCCGGTAGATGCTCCACCCAGCGCTCCACGCCAGAGACTGTCTGGTCATCTTCTGGGTACAGCTAGGTGCATGGGTATGCTTTGTGCATACTGGACACCATGGCATCAGCCCCTGGGTGTGGCAGCCCAAGAGATGGGGCTGGTTGGACCCTTCCTCATGAAGGGCTTGGTTAATGCTGATGATCTATAATGTTGGGAGAACAAAGGGGGGTGTGCTAGCTCCAGGAATTTCTGCTGTGATTGCCCTCTGCCACTGGCCCTTGGCTATATGATAGGACTACCCACAGTGGGCGGGGGGTGGGGGTGGGAGGCTCGAAAGCTGCCATCAAGGCCAGCTGTGGGCAGGTAGAAGGAAGGGCCAGTCTTTGCAGAGGGGACCAGTTCCATTCTCTGAGAGTGGCCTGGCCTGGGAGGAGACTCCATTACACATAGGATGAGGGATTCTGCTTGACTCCCTCGTATGTCTCTTTTGTCTCTCTTGTTGCCTGAACCCCTCACCCTTCCTCCCTGGGCTGGGTATGTCCACTTTCCACAGAGCCTAGATGCAGTAGGGGCGAGGGGAGGGAGGAACCTGTGCTCAGCAGGGGCCCTGTGGTCAGAGAGGGACCCATATGCTTTGGAGGAAGACATTGGGCGTACCTTGATGTGGAGGAGGTGAATACGGACACCCAAATCTACAAGGGGATCCTCAGATTGCTCTAGGGGAGGGTGCAAGGTGGCTGCAAAGACCTCAGGCTAACGTGACAGGCAGGCAGTCTAAGTGACTGTTAGAGTGGATGGAGAAGAGAAAGACTGCCCCTAGTCCTGGAGAGGGGTACTGGCCCTGGCAGTTAGCTCACTCCCCTGTAGCCTGCCTCGCCTCATCTTGGTCTCTGCCTGTCCCCTCAGGTGTGTTGTCACTGTCTTAACAGTGAATGGGCAACACACAGGCTCCGTGTCTCTTTGGGATGGGTTCTATAGGCAGGAAGTTCGGTTCTCCAGCTGGCTAAGCATGTGGGCCTCTGGGGAAGCATGGCAGGAACAGTGATTGTATGTGTGTTGGTGTCTGCAGGCTGTGGGTACTGGCAGGTATGGTGGAATGTGCTGAGAGGAACTTGGTTCCCCTGGAGCTGGATCACCCTTTGGTCTATGAAAATGCAGTCAGGGCCCCAGTGGTAGCTGCAGAACCCAGTAGAAGTCACAGGGTGGGTAGTGATGAGGCGGTGGTCCAAGGGCCCAGCTTACCCTGTGCCCCCAGGTGGACTCGCATTCCCACCGAGCACCTGCTCCGGGGTTCCCCTCCACCCCCTCAGCGTCGCTATGGCCATACCATGGTGGCCTTTGACCGCCATCTGTACGTGTTTGGGGGTGCAGCTGACAACACACTTCCCAATGAGCTGCACTGCTATGATGTGGACTTCCAGACCTGGGAAGTGGTCCAGCCCAGCTCTGACAGTGAGGTACGTGCTAGGCAGGTGTCCCTACACATGTGACTGACCCCAGGCTGACAGTCTGTCCTCCCTCTGTGACCAAGGATGCCTGTATATCCCACTGCCATTTCTCCCCTACCAAAGGGGGCCCAGGACAGTCATCCTTGACCACATTCAGTGATCCCCATCCTGGGGCCTGCCCTGTCCCTCACCCTGTTCCCACAGTGTGCTCAGGACAGGGGGCCTGAGTGTCCATCTTTAGGGCCTGCCTGGGCCCCACTCCCTGGCCTCATGCTCTGCTCACCCTCTCTCACTAGGTTGGAGGGGCGGAGATACCAGAGCGAGCATCTGCTTCTGAAGAGGCACCTAGCCTGGCCTCCGAGGAGCGGGGAAGTGGCTTCAAGAAGTCCCGAGAAGTATTTGGCCTGGACTTTGGCCCCACAACAGCCAAGCAGCTAGCTCAGCCAGCCTCAGAGGTGAGGTGGCTCTCAGACCTCAGCACACCAATTTTCTGGCCATGTCCTGTTAACCCCACTTCCTGGTAAGAGACTCAGTTGCAGAACAATTTGCTCAAGTAAGGAGTAGGCCCAGAGTCCAGTCTGCCTCAGCCCAAAACCTCCAGTGTCCCTGCCAGCTGCACCCCTGGGCCTCAGGGTTTCCACTGACTAAACCAAGCACCTGTTCTGCCCCCTCGGGGGGCTATCCTGGCCCCAGTACACTCCAGCTCCATACTGTATACAAGTACTCTTGCTGAGAGACTGTGCTGGCCAGAGAACCTGCCCTACCCACTCATGAACTTGTTTCCCTGCCCCAGCTGCCTAGCGGGAGGCTCTTCCATGCAGCTGCTGTGATCTCGGACGCTATGTACATCTTCGGGGGCACCATGGACAACAACATCCGCAGTGGGGAGATGTACAGGTTCCAGGTGTGGAGTTCATAACTTTGCTGGCTGGGCTGGGGCCCAGGTCGAAGGTCAGAGCAGCAGGGGGTGGCTGCAGATACTGCAGGTCTGAGGCCTCTGGGTGACCCCACCTGCAGCTAGGAGGCTAGGCCAGCATGGGGAAGTAGATGAGCAGCCTGAAATTGGTCCCCCTCTGGTACACCCTGCAGTTTTCCTGTTACCCCAAGTGCACACTGCATGAGGACTATGGACGGCTATGGGAGAGCCACCAGTTTTGTGATGTGGAGTTTGTGTTGGGTGAGGTGGGTGCCTTGCCCTACCACCTGCTGTGCTTGGGAGGGGAGTCTTGCCCTTCGGGTGGCTTGCCCCACTCCCTCCACTGAATCTGGTCTCTGCTGTAGAAGGAAGAGTGTGTACAGGGCCATGTGGCTATTGTCACGGCACGGAGCCGCTGGCTGCGTAGGAAGATTGTGCAGGCGAGGGAGCGGCTGGCCCAGGTAAGATGTGTTTCCCTCAGCTGGTGCTGTGCCCACCCAAGGTGCTCTGTGATCTTCTTTTCCCAACAGAAGCTGGAGGAGGAAGCATCCCTGGCTCCCCGGGAGGCTGCTGGTGGGGCTGTGGGGGGTACCCGGCCACCCCTGTTGCTGCCTGTGGCCATCCGTGAGGCTGAGGCACGGCCCTTTGAGGTGCTCATGCAGTTTCTCTACACAGACAAGATCCAGTACCCACGGAAAGGTCTGCCAGGGCAGAGCACGGAGGCCAGGACAACCCTGGGGGAGGGTGGCCCTGTTGCAGGAGGGAGCATTGCCCACCTGAGGCTGGGAGGACTGTGCTGACCCAGCTTGTCCATGGGTACAGGCCATGTGGAGGACGTGCTGCTCATCATGGATGTGTACAAGCTGGCGCTGAGCTTCCAGTTGTGTCGCTTGGAACAGCTGTGCCGGCAGTACATCGAGGCCTCCGTAGACCTGCAGAACGTGCTGGTGGTGTGTGAGAGTGCTGCCAGGCTGCAGCTGGGCCAGCTGAAGGTGTGCCAGGACCTGGGGGTGGCCAGGGAAAGCCCCGCCATCCCTACCCTTTACTCTCAGGACCTGGGCCTCATCCACCCCTGCCTGTCCTGTCCATCCAGGAACACTGCCTAAACTTCGTGGTCAAAGAGTCCCACTTCAACCAGGTGATCATGATGAAGGAGTTTGAGCGCCTCTCGTCGCCTCTCATTGTGGAGATTGTGCGGCGGAAACAGCAGCCACCCCCTCGTGCTCCTTCTGATCAGCCTGTGGACATTGGTAAGGACCTCCTGGCTCATTCCTGGAGGATGGTTGGCTGGACTTATCCATCACAATCGGAGACTTAGGAGCCTCAGACTAGGAAAGAGCAGTGGATGCCAGAAGTTTTCCAGACATATCCACAGCCAAGTGTCTGTGCCAGACCTGTACACAGTGGGCTGTGCTGGGGTGGAGTGACCAGGCTATGTCTGTTGCTGGTAGCCCTCTATGGTGGGTACGCTTGCCCTTTCTGGAAGATCAGGTGTGGTGGCTTCAGAGGTAGTGATGTGCATAGATAGCATCACAGTGGTTCATGAGGAGCTGCTCTCTTCAGCCCAGCTGTCTGGGGCCTAGTGATAGTGAGAGTGGCCCAAAGACCTCACCTGACCTGGCCTCTCCTGACCCTTCTTGAGACCTGCACTATACTCTTGGTGTTCAGGGAAGCCACTTGCAGGACCAAGGAGTCCTGCTTCCAGGTAGGGAGAGTGAAAGGTCTCATGTGGGGACCTGAGAAGGGCTGTGGAGGCTAGGACAGAAGGAAGGCCTATGGTCAGAGAGGCTTTCTGAGGGAACAACTGGCACAGATGAGTAGGGAGGTGGAACTGAGGGGCATGAGGAGCAGGTGAGTCTGTGGGAGGCTGGGAGGCACCTGCTCAGGCCCCATCCCCACCCCTAGGCACATCTTTGATCCAGGACATGAAAGCGTACCTGGAAGGGGCGGGGGCAGAATTCTGTGATATCACACTGCTGCTGGATGGATACCCTCGACCAGCCCACAAGGCCATATTGGCTGCCCGCTCCAGGTGAGTGAAGGGACAGGGCAGGGCAGGTGAGGGGAGCAGGTCTGGCCACAGTCCCTTCTCCATGAGCCTCCTTCAAGGGTCTTTCCACAGCTACTTCGAGGCTATGTTCCGCTCCTTCATGCCTGAGGACGGGCAGGTGAACATCTCCATCGGGGAGATGGTGCCCAGCAGGCAGGCCTTTGAGTCCATGCTTCGATACATCTACTATGGCGAGGTCAACATGCCTCCTGAGGACTCACTGCATCCCAGCCAGTCTTGGCTTTGGCCTGGTAGTTACTTACACCCTTTGGAGAATTTGCTGGAGCTCAGCATCCCCCCAAGGGTTCTGAGGCTGTAGGGTGGCTATAAGGAAGGCTTTGCAGTGGGGTGGGATGGCTGGAGAAGGGCCATCCTGGCTCTGATAGGCGAGCAGACACATGTCAAGTGGTACCACTCAAAATTAGTGGACTCTGAGCATGCCCCCCTGCTTCACAGGACACCCTGCAGGGGGTCTATAAGGCCAGGCCAGTCCTGCAAATGTGCATAAAGATAGGTTTCTGGAGTGAGGATTCTGTGACTTTCTCTTAATCTTTGTCTTGGAACCCTGTTTAAAGAGCAAGTTGGTGTCCAAGCCAGGACTGGGGCCCAGCCCCTACTCTTGTGGTGCAGTCACCCTGGTTCTGGCCACAGGGGACCCCCCCCCGACTGCCCTCTGCCCGCTGTGGGGGTGGGAGGACAGGTCACCGTGCTGGCATACTCCTTAATCAGCCCCAGCTACCTGTTTGCTGCCCCCTACTACTATGGCTTCTACAACAACCGGCTGCAGGCCTACTGCAAGCAGAACCTGGAGATGAATGTGACGGTGCAGAATGTATTGCAGGTATGCCTGGGCCTCCCCTCCTCCCCTCTTCTGGGGGGCAGGGGCTGTGTCTCAAGCACTTGCTCTTCCAGATCCTGGAGGCAGCTGACAAGACACAGGCGCTGGATATGAAGCGGCATTGTCTGCACATCATCGTGCACCAGTTCACCAAGGTCAGTGGCATTATCCTTCCTGGTTGGTGTGAGCCCTTGGGATAAGCCATGTAGGTCTGCTCATTTGAGGCCATGCAACACTGGTCAGGCCCCTACGAGCTCTTCAGCCTACCCTGGCACTAACTTGGGTCACTCCCGCAGGTTTCCAAGCTGCCTACACTTCGGTTGCTGAGCCAGCAGTTGCTGATCGACATCATTGACTCCTTGGCCTCCCATATCTCTGATAAGCAATGTGCAGAGCTGGGTGCTGACATATGAGGATCCAGGCAGAGGTTGACAACAGTCAGGCAGGGTGCCCAGAGTCCCAAAGGGGAGCTGAGGGGCATGGGAGGCTCAGATACCTCCTTCCACTGCTTAAGACAGGCCCAGGTGACACACCTGGCTGCACTCTCATGAGTGTGGGCAGAACAGCAGGAAGCAGGGTCCTGGCCATTGCCCAGCAGTGGTCAGGGGAGCGGGACGCATGTACTCTGGGTGACCTGTTCTTGGTCCTATAGCCTCTGATGATGGGGGTGGACTCAGCAGAATGCTATAACCCTAGGACCTGTGCACTATCTCCTACATTCACAGGGGTGGTGTAAGGGGCGCTGCCACCCTGAGTTTAAGTGGGGTCCACTGACAGGTAGATAGGGTCTAACTCAGAGAACCCTCAATGGGGTGTTTGCTGGGTTGCATCCGTTATTTGCTGGATTACATATTAAATGCCAAGCAGCCACCACTTGGCTCACTGTCCATTTTAACCTGTGCTCGCCCCACAGCCCCTTAAGTCTTTCCTAGAGTGGGACTAGCACTACATACACATCTGGGTCACCCAATCACATTGGGGGGAGCTTTGGGAAGAATCAGCTGGACACCTGGGGAACCCAAGGCTCAGCACTGCCTCACTCCTGTGTCAGCTCAGCTCACTTAGAAAAGGTGGGCTAGAAGTTGGGGACAGGTCTATTTCTACATGTCCCTTACTGAGGCCCTGGGAGCCGGGATTTTTTTTTTTTTTTTTTTTAAAGGGATTTGCTTTTTCTCCTCCACTGTATTCCTCCTATCCCCACATTGAAGAGATCCCAGTGGCTGTGTGTAGCCGAGAAACCCTCAAGCTGAGGGTGGCATCCAGGAAGTTATTAAATACTATTGCGTTGATAACTATTCCACAATTCTGTATATTGTTTCCAAGGAGTAGTTAGTGGGTTTGAATTGCAACCTTGTAGTTAGCAGTCCAGTGCTTATCCTACAGTCCATACCAGGATTCCAGCAAGTGGCCAGGTATAAAAAGATGAGCTGGGGGAGGCTGGGAGTGAGCAGCAGGGGGCACTGTGGCAGAAGGCTATATCCTGAGGGTGCTCTGGTGGGGAACAGGGGGCCCACAGCTGTAAGTAGGGAGGGGTGTTGGCTCAGGGCAGGCAGGCTAGTGAGGGTCATCCACAGTTGGGACACCAAACTACCTTACCCAGGACCCTAGCAGACACTGCTTGCCAGATCCCTAGGGCAACCTCAATCCTTTCCAGGCATGTACCTGGAAATCTCTACCCTGTCTACCACCTACCCCCACCCCCCCAGCCTGCACAAACCCTGCACTCATTGGTCCCCAGTACCTCTCCTAAAGATAATTCCAAATAAGGTGACATGCCAAGAGCCTCCAGAAAGCACCTTTCTGATGCTCATTTTCCTTGGGACTGGGACTTTGGCTGCATTCTTTGGGCCAAGGGAAGCAGACAGGTTGCAAATGAAATCTGTTATCCTGCATACTGGGCTGTTACTAGTCCCAGTAGGCCTCCTGGATTTCTGTTTACTGAACATGCTGTGGCCAGGGCTGCTATTATAATTTGTATCCACTCCACTCATCTCACCCCAAAGGAGCAATTAGGGCCTCACTCCCTGCCCATGACATGAATTGGTAATGGTGTCATTACCACCAGTGTCCTGAGATAGAGAGGGCCTGGGGTGGTGTGAAAGTGAGCATGGGGGCTGGGATCCAGAGCTATGCCAGGCCTTCCTGGGGGCCACTCTGTGGAGTGAGCTGACCTGTGGATAGAAGGTGGAACATCCCTGCAGTCTGGCCTGGGCTTTGTGAATGCTTCCAGGCCTAACGTGCTTTCATCAAGGCTGTTTCAGGTCTCAAGGATAGGGTGACTAGGGCTGCTTTAACCATCATACCACCCGTCCCTTCTTCTGTGGTGCTCCATGGGGTGGGAGGAGAGAAGTAGCAGAGCTCCACCCTGCACAGCCCTGAGAATGAGTAGAAGGCAGTTGGGTTTCTGGTTCCAGTGGTAAAGAATTTGGGCGACGGTGTCTGATCCTTTTGTCTGGGTAGTCGTCTGGGGAATGAGCTTGAAATTCAAAGGGGGTTCCTCAGCCCCATTACAGCCAGACAGCAGGCCTCGTTCTAGCAGCCGCTTTATTATAATGTCTGGTTGACTCTGGGGGACAACCAGAGCTCAGTCCAGTTCCCTCTCTGGCCAAACTGGAGGGAGGTGGCAGCAGCTGGTGTCTGTTCCTCAGGCTACACTGCTGCCCAGTTGCTTGGCAAAGTCCTGCACGTGCTCCTTCAGAGTCTGGCAAGCGTCTGCTTGCGCCCGCTTCTCCCGAGCCCGTTCCTGCTGCAGCTTAGTCAGTCGCAATCGGAGCCGCTGCTCCCGCCTCTTGCAGGCCTGCAACTGGCGCTGGGCCTTGTCCAGAGCATCTAGGGCAGCCTCTGCCCGCCGCTTCCAAAGCAAGGCGCTGCCCACTTGGTAGCTGTGCTCATTCTGGATGTAGGCCCCTGCAGGTGGCGGCAGTCGCAGCATGTAGGCTGAAGGGGAGATGGGCCGAGGCTCCAGGGGGCAGGGCTGACGCTGGGGCTCACGTTCCAGAGAAGGCTGGACACTACAGCCGGCTTCATCAGCCTGGGCGCCCAGGGGCCCAAGAAGGTCTGAGAAGGCGCTGCTGAGGCCAGGCTCCAGCCTTCCGGCAGGGGAGGTCACCAGGGCCGCAGGTGCTGAGGCCTCTTCCAGGGGAAAGTAGAGGAAGTCCGCGGTGGGAGGTGTAGAAAATGGAGATGTGGGTCCCCTGCCCTCAGAGCAACTGAGGAGAGAGCAAGCCCAGCTGAAAGAACCCCGGACACACAACCCTGGACCCAGAAAACCACTAAGATCTCAGCCACACACCCTAAAGCCCAGTCCCTCAGACTGGCAAGAAGGGGGTGCAGTGGGGCACCCTCCACTTGTGGCACACATACCGCTTCCTGCATCGCTGGAGCCGGCTGAGGTTAGGGGGTGCAGGGGGATAGCCGCGCCCTTTGGTCTTGGACACCCGCCGAGACTTGAAGAAAGACTCAAATATAGTGGGGACTGCCCCCTCCTTCAGCCTGTGATAGCCGCTGTGGGAAAAGCAGTGTTGATGCGCTGAGAGAAGATGCTGCCCGCTAGGAGGGCCCAGCTAAGCACAGTGGACCCGGCTGCTGGGCACTGATGCTGTGCAAAGCAGAAAGAGAGTCTGGAGGAAAAAGGGCCAGACAGGAGGCAATCTTGCCTGTGCCCAGAGGTCCCCAGTAGAAGGGGTGAAATTCTCAACACCCTCCTCTGGAAGGACACAGGCTTTCTCTCTGCGTCACAAGTACGTCGATTACCATCAGTTACTACAAAGAGGAACAGCGAGGTCCAGGCCGGATCAACTTTGAGACTAACCGGCCACCCTCAGCCTGGTCGTCCCCACCCGACACCCCGAGCCCTGCTGGCCGCCAGGGTGCCCACCTGATCCCCACCAGCTCGAAGCAGTTATCCTCGAAGTGCTTGGAACAAAAGTAGATGTACTCGGATGCCGGGTCCCACAAGCCCTGGCCGCTGGGGTCCAGTCGCTGGCAGTTGGCTAGCCACAAGCCTCGCCTTGGGTTGTCCTTCTTGGGGAGTCTGCGGGGCCACACACCACTGAGCACCGGCCCGGCCGCCCGGGGCTCGAGCCCGAGGAGCGCCGCCCACCCGGGGCTCAAAGGGATGGCAGCGACGGGTTCAGTGGCATGGAGCTGCGGGAGACTAGGCGCAGTGAGCCCCGACTTCCCGCCCTTTCCTTCCCCCTCAGATCTCTGTCCCCGCAGCTCCGCCCCTCCACCTGCCCGCCTCAGTGAATTCCAGCCTCTGCCCCTTAGGAGTGAGAAGCAGGTGCTAGGCACTAGCGGCGAGCAAGCCCAGCGTATGCGCACGCGCGCTGACCTGTGGAATGAGATGCCGCGGTTGCGCGTTTCTCGCGTGTCCCGAGTGCAGCAGCCGGCAGCAGAGCAGTGACGCGGCATCTGGGGGCGAGGCGAGAGCGTGGGCAAGGGGGGCTGTCCGGGTCTGGAGGCCCTCGCGCTCCAACCGCCGCTCTGCTCCAGGGGCCCTGGCCGCTAGGGTCTCCCCCGGCCAGAACTCGCCCCACCTAGCCTCGGGACTCCTGTCACTAGCATTCACGTTCTCGCCATTGCTGCCCCGCCAAATATCGCGAGGGGTGACGCGCGGCGGAAGTTGGTACCATAGAGATGCGGGCCAGCAGGGCTCTCAGCTGTGGGCGGGGCAGGAAGTGGATCCTGGTCGATTGGAGGTGAGGATGATCTGCGCCGGTGCGCATAAGCGCTTGAGAGTGGCTGCTGACCTGCTCACAGGCGCACAGGCGCACGGTCACCTCGAGGCTCTTTAACTGCTCGAATTAAACCCCCAATTAGCAGCGGCCAGGAAGCTCACGTAAAGGAAGCTGTGTGAAACTCAGGTGCTGCAGATTTACTCCTGGTAGTTCACCTTCAGGAATAAAGGGCCCCTTAGATTTCTAGACTTGGTAGTGTATTGGTTACAAATTGGGCTGCGAAGCTCAAGGTCAGCAGTTCAAAACTACCAGCTGTTCCGCGGGAGAAAGATGAGGCTTTCTGCTCCCGTAAAGATTTACAGCCTTGGAAACCCTATACAGGGTCACTATGAGTCGGAACCGACTCCATGGCACATCACCACCACCAACAGATTGCTAGACTATAGACATAGATTATTGATTTCTCATAGCAACATGGGTCTATGTCCCTGGGGTATGTGAACTACAGGAATTGGGGAAGGAAGAAAGCTGTTCACTAGGAACATTTAAGGATGCAGCCATTAAGGCCGTGGGGGTGGGGGATTGTTAACTCCATAGTACTCAAAGCAATGAGGAACGCGGGAGAGGGGGACCTTCTCAAAATTAACATAAAATCCTTAGCCAGCCAGCTACTAGCATGTCTTCCTGTGTCTTGAGTAAGCGCCTGATTTCGCAAAATTTAATAAAGAAAGCCTTACTCTGGCTAAAATGAGTACAGATTGGATTTATTGAGCGTTTGTCAGTAAGCACTGCTAACTCATCAGTGTGAGAAACTTTGTCAGTACCCGAACAATTCCTCAGACCTTCTTAGGCACTAGCAGGTCAGTATAAACCCGTGTTGACCTTACCTGGTTGGAACTGGGAGGGAGAACTGGGGCGGACTGCCTTATCTCATATGAGATCACAGATGGGTTATCGAGGGTGCTTACTGACAGAGGCTCAAGAAATCCAATCTCTACTTGTTTTATCGGGAGAGGTTTTTTTTAATTCGATTTTGCTAAATCAGGCGCCGCACCCAGTAGACACAGGCAGATGCACCACTTGGCCCTCGACAAACGGTTTTAACTCTTGTCCCCCCAAAAGCCCCTCCTCCAGTTCTAGTTCTCCATATACAATTCTATGTTGTTGTTGTGAAGTGCAATCGAGTCGGTTCCGACCTATAGCGACCCTGTATAGGGCTTCTGAGGAGCATCTGGTGAGCGGCTTTGCAGTCTGGCACATTAGTCTACAGCGCCACACCAGGACAATTCTATAGTATGCCCCATTTTAGACATTCCAATCAGTTATAGGCAGAAGACGATTTACAAGCTTTCTATGTTGATATTTCTGGCTATTCCTTTCTCTTCCCCTCAAGTGTCTATTTTATAATGGTATGCAAGGGAAACCAAGATTCAAAAGACAGCCAAGCATCTTAACACTGTTTCCCCTCTTAAGGCCCTTTCCAACCATGCCTCAATCCCTGTATTGCAGAGCCCTGTAGTTCCAAGGTTGTGCATACATCATTATTTACCTCTGTCCCACTTAGCTCACACAAATCTGCCTAATAGTTCTCCGATCTGCCTTGTTCCACCATTCCCCTCCCCCTTCTTGTAAAAACACATTAACCTTTTAACGCTTAAGTTTCCTCCCCCCTGGACTAACCCCATTCACATGTATATGGCCTTGGGCCTCTGACAGGATGGATTCTAATAGGTTCCAGCCTTAGAAGTTGCTCTCCTTTCAGCTCAAACATTTTAACATTTTATCCCATTCCCCTTTGTTCTTTCTTCCATAAAACCTTACAATTTTTTTTAAGACTGGAGCCATTGCAATGCATCCCACTCACAGGCCAAATGCTGACTTCCTCCGAATCTGCACTAGTCTTCTAACTCAGGGAATGAGCCAGAACATCTAGTTTCTGTTTAAATTCCAACTACCACTATGAGAAAAGTGAAGATTGAGGTGGCTATATCTTTCCACTTTCTAAACCACCCCTCTAACCAGTCAGTTAATTCTAGTGTTTTCAGCCCATTCATTAGATATGATGCTTGATTCTGGCAGAACCTTTGTGATAGTACCATCAGGAGCAGTGTTAAGGGTAACACACTTACTTATCATATTACACATACACCCTCCTTTTCGGCTAGCATCATGTCTAGTGCTATTGTTTTCCCAAAACATCTGGCTAGTGGCATAACTGGCTAGCTACCCCTTGTAGGGCATCTCTGGTGTCATTTATGAACCTATGGATCAAGAGATCCAGGGAGAAATCTCTGGGCTCGAGATTACTCATGTTGCTATGGTTTCTTGCAGAACGCTAGGGTGAAGGGGAATTGACAGCTGGACCAGTGCACCCGTCCCAGTTCAATCAGATGGCAGCAAATCTCAGACATTCCCTTTTCCACAATACTCTGAGGGCCAAATAGGACACTGCTAGGTTCACCAGCTTGAGGACTAGGGTGTGTCTGACCAAAGCCATGGTATTTTCAATAACCTCATATGGATGCGAAAGCTGGACAGTGAATAAGGAAGATCGGAGAAGAATTGATGCCTTTGAGTTGTGGTGTTGGAGGAGAATACTAGGAGTGCCATGGACTGTCAAAAGAACCAATAGATCCATTTTGGAGGAGGTGCAGCCAGAGTGCTCCTTGGAGGCCAGGATGGCTAAGCTTCGTGTCTCATACTTTGGACATATTGTCAGGAGGGAACAGTCGCTGGAGAATGATGTCATGCTGGGTAAGATGGAGGGTCAGAGAAAAAGAGTTAGACCCCCAATGAGATGGATTGGCCAGGTGGCATCATTGATGGCATCAAGTGTGGCGGCGGTAGTGAGGTTGGCCCAGAATCGGACATTGTTTCATTCTGCTGTGCATGGGGTCACTATGAGTCGGTTCCGACTCGATACCTGACAACAACAGGTTCACCAGTGACATTTTGGACGTGGTGTAAATTGTCAATTCTCCTACAGGCACTGTGAACTCTGCTCCCTGCCTTTAAAGACAAGCCCTTACAAGTTTCATTTCCCCAAGCATCCTTGTCTCCGTACAGAGCCAACCTGGAGTACACATTCGAAGCCCAACCAAGGGAAAGGGGAATTAACCTGCACCTGTGGTTTACCAGCTGTGCCAACATGGCAGTCACTTTTCTTGAGAGCTTGCACTGAATATTTAACCCATTCTACCCAAGCCTGGTGTGGCGCTATGGGTTAATGCGCCAGACTGCAAAGCCGTTTAAACTGCAAGGTTGGCAGTTCAAGCTCACCAGCTACTCCTTGGAAACCCTATACAGGGTCGCTATGGTCGAAACCGATTTGACGGCACTTAACAATAACAAACCCAAACATTCACACTCCTATATTCTACTTGTTTCTACTTCTAATGTTTGTCTTAGGTCTTTTACCTCAATCACTTCTACTCTTTCAGGGTCATTTTAAAAGATTTTCTTAGGGGGAGTAACAGGAAAAAGGCGTGGGTTAGGTGCTGAAGTCAGGAAAGTGATGAATTAGAGAATACAAATCCACTCACAGGGTCCCATCTAGGGATGTGAGCACCCATTCCATAGGCCTGGATTACTACTCTTGCTCCCTATAATTGAGATGAGCACTGGATCCTCCAATTTCCTGCAGGATAAAACTTGGCAAATACCTAATTTGATGGTTTGAGGGAAAGATGCCATAGTTAGATCTACTATCAACCTTACTGGTTGGTCATAGACAAAAGCCCTTTCCACCTCCCCCATGGTTTTAGCCATATTAGCTTCCAAACCCACCCCATCTTGTCAAGGACAATTTAGTACCCCTGGGCCCTAGTCTTTTTCTGGTTTCATATCCACTCCTTTACCCTGAGTCCCCTCGTACTAAACAAGGATTAAGGAAGGGGGAAGGACATCTCTAGTCCAACAAGAATAGTAACACTGAAAAGAACAGCCTGGAGACAAAGAAAAAGATATCAAGACCTGAACCCTAATCCTGTACCCCATTACTAAAAATTGATAAATATTCAACATACCACTCCTCCTCCTCAATATGTATTAGCCCACTTTTAGAGGAAGAGACCCCATACCTTTATAAACTCCAGTGTATCCCAATCCCAAAGGGTCTTCTCTTGGGAGATATACCTACTTCTCTCTTTGAAGTGTACTTTCTCTTTGATCTAATCTATACCCCCCAGTTCTACCAGGTGTTCTGAGAAGCAGTGACTTGGTGGGACAAATTCTTTAGATCCCTGAGAACAAGAGGGACCATGGGAAAACATGACAATCTGGCAGCGGTATGGCAAGGCAGACTCTCAGACTCTTGTTAAGGTCACTTTGAAGAGTTCCCTGTTCACTTTGAAGAGTTCCCTTAGGGAGCGTCCCTCTTCACTGGTCCCTTTATTTGAATATAAGGAGTCCGCTCCTTTTCCACTGCCCAGATGGCTGTTTCATTGGTCAACCATACCTGGTTAGGATCCTTTTTCCAGGTCTAGATCAGCACCAAGTCTCCTGGTAGGAAGGGATGAATGGTGAATTTGAAGGAATGGGTTTGGAACAAGAGTCCAAATGTAGTTTCTCAAGAATCCCAGGTAGCGGAGCCTATGGCATGGCACCCCTTTAGCACTGAATGCCATTCGACCCTTTGGTTTCTAAAACTGAGAGGGTTAACATGAAGATATTCAGGGATAACACATTCTATTACACTCCATTCTTTCCTCAAACCAAAAGAAAAGTGTTGGCTCT